CACAATTATTGAGAAGAAATATTATTGTGTCTAAAATCAAAAGCATCTCAAGCACTTTTGAGTATAGAAATAATATTACAATGTTTTTTTTTAGGATCACTTTTCAGAAAATATGTGGGAAAAACTTNGAATAGATGGGAAAAGAAAGCTGAAATGCAATGCTGTACCAACAATTTTCCCATCATATGGATGTATCTTGAAGAGCCAAGACACCAGCCAGGACAACTCTTGCAATGTATGCATATATATTATATATGTTTATTTGTTTTAAACATTATTNTAGATAAAATCTAATAGACAAATTACTCTTTTTATAGATGGATTACAATCAGAAATATAATGACACAGTAACTATTACACAGAAACATCCACTAAACAATGCAATAAACAATTTAGACTTNGAAGACACTCAACTACTTGTTGACATTCAACCATCACAATCAGATATTAATCAGCCAANACTAGAGTCTGCTCTATTACGGATAAAAGACTTAGAAAGTAAACTCAAAGAAGCAAATGACAAACTTACAGTTGCCAACATGATTGTTTGCAAAACCGAAAAAACGAAGAAAAATCTACAGCAACGTATAAGAAAGTTGAAAAGCCTTAAAAGATTACGTGTTGAAAAAACTTTGTTAAAATCCTCAGAGATAAGGTAAATGACCCAGTCGTTGTCAACGTAAGGGAAATGTGCTGTAAACTATTGAAAGTTAATAGAAAATGAAGATTTTTTTTTATAATGTGTAATTTACCTATCTAATAATGTAATAAAGCCAAAACGAATTCATTTTTTTCGTTCAGATATTAAATAAATATCTAAAGAAAAAAAAACGACAGACCCAGTAGTTGTCAATGACGTCACGGCTTGGAGCAGTAGTTGATAGCGGTTGGATCCAGTAGTTAATAATCGCTACCGAGATAAAAAAATGAATTAATTTAACTACTTTAAAGCTAAAGATAGTGAAATAAAAGGAATAAGGAATGTGTTATCATATTTTGAACTTTATTCAGCAATTATTCAAGGCTACAATAATTGTATTAGATAAGTAAAGTTATAAATAAAAATAAATACTACGAGTTCACCAGTTCACTTAATATACTACATAACAAAATAATAAATTATTATTGCAATCACATGACTAAAAGAATAATAAATTAATTAACATTTTTCAAAGGTTTTCTTTTTTTATTATTTAATTTGAAATTTTTTATATTCAAATTTAGCGATTCAATTTTTTTCTTTAATTGTTGCTGCTGATTTTGATCACTTCGAATGGAGTCATTGAAATTGTTGATTTGCAGTTTTGCTTCGTCTTCAGAAAACTCACTCTGCTTATTTTTTAAATTCAAAAGTAATAATTTTAATTCGGCCTTATTTTTTGTGATTTTAGCATTTAAAAGACATATTTCTTTTTGACAATCGTTTTTGTCAGACCTTAAATTCTTCAAGTTTTCTTCAGACTCCTTTTTTATTGTAAGATTTTCTTCTTTGATTTTTTTTCTTTCAGCTTTTTCCAATTTATCTTGTGCTTTTTGTTTTTCTTTCAAATCATGATAACATCTCCATTCCAGACTTGTGGCTGTAGCTGGTAATTTTTCTTTTTTTACTTTAGTCTTTTTTTTGTTCTCATTACTTATTGGTTTTGGATACATGAGGTAATTTTTTATATTGTTGCTCAAAAAAGCTTTTTGTGGAGATAATCCTGAAAAATAAAATCATTGAAAATACAAAAAGTAAGGTAGGCTCTTGATTACAGAGTGTTTTTCTTAGAACTTACTTGATTTGTGATCATTCTTGAGCGTTTGTCCATCAGTATTCGTTCTCAGATGCTCCTTCGACAGGGGTCCAAGATCTACAACAAGGTATGAAATTTAGTCAAGTACGAGTACAGAAAAGTTAACCTTGTGTAATCGAAAATAGATTTTGAAAGTCACCAGGCTCAGGGAAGGCTTTTTCATTCTTATAAGGTACACTTAAATTAAGAGGACTACCACCACCATTTTCATGATATTCATCCTAGTAAAATAATGGAACATGAAATTGTAATTAAACAAATTAAAAAAAAACGTTTTCAAAGTAAATTAAAAAAGACTTGATTTAAATTGTGTCCAACAATTACATACTTTTTGAGAATGATCAATGTTGTACAAGTCCCTAAGAATACTTTGGTTTCTCAGCGATAAGCTGTCATCAAATCTATTATTGAGCGAAGAACCTTCAACATTGTTTGGCGTACAAGAATTATCCACATCTAAATGATGCTCAATTAATTATACTGTCTCTACTATGCCATCTTGCACAAATTCACTGACAATTTCCTCAGGAACTTGAGATGTCACGGTATTGTTAGTTACAGTGACTTCAAATGAATCATTTTTGTGTAGTTGACACCCAGTATTCACACTTGACTGACAGTCAATGTTTGATGTGCATAAAGGTTCAGCACCTCTCACATTGTTACTTGATTGATTAATACACTGACGCCAAACAACAAATAATTCCTTGTATTCAATAGATCCTTTCCAGTCTGGACTTACATTCTCTTTAAACATCTCCAAAACATCTGGTTTTATCATAGATTCAATGTTGTGAGATAGATGGTGAGGTGATGAGACAGTTGGCGATGGTTCATCATGGTTTTGATCATTACTGATGATACGTACAGGATCATATGGTATCAATTTTGAGTAATCTATACTATTGTGATTAAAAGGATGCAAACCACATTTCTCAAAGGAATTTTTAAGAATTTCCTTTAAGTCCAAGTCACTTAAAGCTTTCTCCAACACCGTTGGAAAAAAAACTTTTGTTGGATATTGGCCATCATGGTTTTGTCTCCACTCTCTGAGCCTGTTTTTATAAGCATTTTTTAATACGTGAAAAAGGCCAACATCCATGAGCTGATGTAAATGAGTAGCATTTGGCACGAGTCCTATCAACTCAATTTGATTATCACAGCAATAATCACTTAATGCTTTGGTTAAATGGGAACTATGCCCATCCACATAAATAATTACCGGAAAAGGTATGTTTTCTTTAATACACCAAGGATGAAAGTGATTCACTATGTACGAATAAAATGTACTACTTGTCATCCAGCCAGTATCACTTTTTCCTATGATGAAACTATTTGGAAAATTAAAATGAATGAATAGTAAAGGCTCGTGAAATTGTCAAACTAAGAATGAAACAAGGCCGATACGAGCCATTCCCAGGATGTTGTGCAGGAATAA